ATTAAAAAAATTTCCTCATTTTCGCAGTCATGAAATAGTAGTTTGTGCAACAAGAGTAGATATGGACAATTCACTCGAGTTGTACACTATAAATTTTCTATGAACCACTAAGGAAAATATAAAAATTTAAAAAATTTATGAATTTTATTAATTTATAAAATGTAATAAACATAAAATAAGCCCCTTGTCCAGATTCGAACCCAGGCTATTCGCGTGGAATCTGGATGCTCTGTCCTCTGCTCCACTCCAGGTTTTTAGTTTTAATACTCGTAATTAAATCAGTTTCATACAATTTGATTAAAATTCATTTTTTTAAATGTGGCCCAAATAAAAATAAAAATGCCATTTTTTATCGATTCTAAACAAAAATAACTAATTTTAACGTATGTAATCTTAACCCTAATAACACCGTTCTGCCAGAAACATCCCATTTAGGTTCCGTGTATGTTTCTATGTTTCTGACATAAATGGTACGTCCCTACGATGTCTCTAAAGAAACGTTTCTGGAATGATTTCTCAAGAACGTTTTAGAAACATCGTAATTATGTTTTAGGTATTTTATTTTCGTTTTAATTATTTTGAAATATCAATAAATTATAAAATTACTGCAATCACCAGAAATCTACAATCATATCAAACTCGAATATTATATTTTAACATTTTGAATAATATTTTTATTTCACAATACAACTGCTATGGGTCTAATTTATCTTTATTAGTTCCTTCAAAAAAGAGTGCAAAGCAAATACGACAGAAATGAATATACCCTTTCTTCTGGCTCAGCAGGAGAGTTCGGTTAATCCTCCGCGAGCTAAAAAAATACACTATTGAAGGAAGTCCTCGTGATGGAATCTATTTTTTTGCATAGAAAGTGTAGCACTGAGCTACAGTACTTAATAAAAATATCGTTCTATTTATACAAATTGTATGGATGGAACTATATTTTCGATGAAAAGGAATAAATCTCATATTAGATTTGCTCGCGGACTATTAACCGAATACGTCTATTGTCAAATGACAATATTGACATATGACAGATAGTTCATTAGTGTTGACAGTTGAAAATAAAAATAATAAAGTTTGCAAAAGTTTATAAGTAAATAAACAACTTCTCTATAAACTTTTAAATAATCTAAAAGTGATAATAGGCGGCCGGATTGACGTATATAGTTTGTACGTAAAGCTACATGAAAAATCACTTCCAATTCAAGGTTTAATCAGGCTTAGCAAATGCAAAAACAATCGTTTTACGTGCGAGATATTGAAGCCAAAATAAAGAAGGTAACTTAATTTCATTTAACAAAATGTGGCTTTTATACATGCTAGTTATTATTTCTTTATTTGTTAACTTTAAAAATAACTATTTTAGGTATTGTATTTTGAAAACCAAGATACCAATAATGTGTGTGAATTTATTAGAAGATGTATAGTTCCCCTCAAGGAACGAGTTGTGTAAGTTGTTTTCATTCACTGGAAAAAAGGAAGACGGCAAGTTAAAAATAGCTGAAGCCATTATGGGTAATTATTTTAACCTAATATCAATTGTTTATATTATCATTTAATTGAAACATTTTCAGATTCGGTAAATTGGTAGACAAAAAAGAAATGGAAATTAAAATAGATGACTGGTTGTGGAGGGCTCCGGAAAGAAATAGACGCAATCAATCAGAGCGTAACAATTAACATTTTTAATTTTTTGTGTCAAAAAATATTTTTTTTTAAATAAATTTATGAAAAACGTAATAAATTTGATTATCCTACTAAAAAACGTTTAGGTCATTTCTAGAACGTTCCAGCAATAGTATAAAAAACTTACCTAGGATGTTTGAGCAACATCGCAGGATGTTTCACAAACGTCTCTGAGAAACGTCTCTAATACGTTACAAATGATGACATGGTCATTGCCAGGAACATCCCAGGTACGTTTGAGGGAGAATAAGAAACATGATAGAGACGTTTCTAATGTCCCAAGGGTATGTTTCTGGAACGTTCATGTAACAATACTGTGCTATTAGGGATGACTAAAAAATATACTGACAGAATTTAAAATTTTAAAAATAATAGTAGTTGGGTGTCCAAAATATGAACTGTGATTGGTGGATTTCATTTTTTTGCAGTTTTCTCACTATGTTATGTTGGGAATGGGGTGTTAATACACTGCGACCTAAAAGATCTATTGTGTCCCCTTCTGTCGCTTATGCAGCACGGAAATGTCTCAATGCCTATAACGACCCTTCCAAATATATTTTCTCAAGGAAGTGTAGGATTTGGAGTGGCTTCAAGTTAGGTAAATTTCCCTCTTCTATTTTATATGCTCCTAGGTATAGTGCCCTTTGATTCTGGAGTGCTACACATTCAGTTAGAATGTGAACGAAGGTTTCGTCCTCCTCACAGAATCTGCAGTCACTATCTTTTACTAATCTCAGTTTACTAAGGTGTCCTTTTAGTTGGCATTGTCCAGTAAGGATCCCTGTTACAAGTGTTCTCACTACTACAAAAATGTATAATATGAAAACAGCTTCAAATACAATCTGCTTAATGTGGAACACCCCGAAAGCCTTGCCAGACTCATCTAATGATCGCCAGGCGCGCTAAATTCGGCACGTTCGATTGCTATTCCTCTCCTCGTTTAACTAGCTGGCTTGTCAGGTCCGACCGAAATATGGTTTTATAACCGAAACAGAAACTAAATTTCGGCTCCTTTCTTAGTTTCGGCCGAAACCGAAACAGAAACAAGAACTTTGTTTTAAGGCAATCTCTTATTGAAATTTGCAGTATCTTATTGTAATCCTTGTTTTAGACTAATTAACTCGTATTATAAATTTAAGCTACATTTACTTATTACCTATTTATTTTTGATGATCAAAAGTAGCCATTAATAAATGTATGGACATTGTTTTTTTTTTATTACTTTTAAAATTAAAAAAAAAGTAAGTGAATTACAAATTATCAATCATTTCTGCATCTGTAGTAGATATTTTGTAACAAAAAATAGTATTATGAAGGGAATTATATATAATGTATAATTTTTATTCAAAAAAAAAAAAAAAAAAAAACAAATTCAGCGGATTAAATATGTTTGTTACTTATAATTAAATTAATATTCATAAGTAAACAGTCTAACGTTGTAGGGTAAAAAAATATTTTTCCACGTTTTCACATAAAAAATTGCTCCTTTGATCCGAATAAATTAGGCCAGGAGCACTGAAGACTGTTCACTTGAAACAAAGCAGAGATGTTTGTGTGTACGTGCACTATGTAAGAATGGCACCCGGCACAGTCGCCATAGTGCAGGACACAACCAAGTGTGATACGAAAACTTTCGAAAGTAGTTTTGCTGTCGGCTGCAGTTTCGGCCAGTTTTCCGCCGAAACCAAAACTGTAGTCGAAACTCTTATTTTAAGCCGAAGTTGGCCGAAACCGTAACCGAACCTTCGGTCGGACACTACTTGTGAGTCTGGCAGGCCTTCGTGATTGTAATTGTCAGCCAGACGTGTATTTTCACTTAGAATACCACTAGTGACTAAATTATTTCCGGAAATTTTTTCGAACTTAAGAATATTTTGAAATTTAGTCGAAGACGATGGATAAGTTTTTTAAAATATGCGTGAGTGAGCAAAAATTTACTGATAATAATTTAAGCACATGTGGTATTGGGTAAGAAAATTTTACACCAAAATATCCAAATTTCAAAACTTTAAAATAACAGCATTTGATCGGCTATAAAATAGAGGTGTAAAATTACAATATAATCTATTACGTGACAAATTTTCAAACCCGGGAAAATAAAAGCAAAAATATTATATTTTTTCGATTTTGAAGATGTTACCAGACTCATTTGCCAATTTCGTAAATCAGCCAGACATTATTATTAACATTTCATGATTGTATCAATTTATATGCTAAATTTTCTGCCACACTCACTTTCCACTATCTGAGATAATCCAAACTGCTATTTTTATAAACTTTTTGTTCTAGTTTAGTAAATGTATAATATTTATGACTGGGAAAATAAGAGTCAGACTCAAAAATTTTGTTTTTTGTTACTCATATACACCTACTGGAAAAATGAGTAGGTACGAAAAAAATTCACTGCCTCCTGAGCTAAATGTAAAATTGCAGAATCAATCAAATGCACGATTCTTTTTATTTTTTAATTTCTGTTCTAAAATCTGAAATGTATGGGTGGATCTGCGATAAATGTTCGAATTATTTTTGGGGGGGCTAATTTGGTTTTTGGGGGGCTTAGCCCCCCAAGGCCTCCCCTAACTTCGCCCATGGCAGGGTTTGCCGCGTAAATTATTTGAAATTTTAGCTTGTATTTTATTTTTCAATTTTCTCCGTTATTACATTGATTTGAGAATTGGTTTCAATGTGATTGTATTTGATTATTAATAGAATATTTGCTTGACTTCTTGAAAAAATAATATTAATTTTTTTATAATTGTTTAAACTTTTATTTTTATTGTTCTCAAAGTTAAATTATTTATATTAACGTTATCAACTGCTTTGATTTATTTCAAAAATGTTTACCAAATCTTAGCTCTTTATCGTATATAGTTTCAAATTTATTAGGAAATTAAATTAAACGCAATTAAAATCTCGCCTTAAATTTAACATTTGCAAATAAAACCTAATATGCTTCCATAAGCTTCAAAGTATCTATGACTATAAGCTAACCTGAGAAAATGGTATCTTTAAATAATGCGTCATCGTACTGCTAGTGCTATACCTAATACTGAGTACTGATTAGCTAGTTATTATACTAGTAATGTAATAATTTTGTGCAGGTAAAAAAGACTATGATGGATGATAATTTTTTTAAAGGTTCAGAATAACTTTAGGCAAAATTAGAAGTGACTATAAATAACGGTATTTTTCTCTTGTATTTTGACATTACAAAAATTTGGACCAACTATTAATAAAATTTATGAATATGATATAATTCATAAAAATTAACACCGGTAGCAACAATTTGCAAATACGATCTTGGTACTTACCATATCCAGAAGACGCTGCTAACACCAATAAACAAACTCATGAAATATTTCAGTAAAAACGCCCAAAGAGCTGGTTTCTTTTCCCCCAATAACCATTTATCCCTGTTGTTATACTCATAGTAGATACTGGCCATAACGCAAAACGTAGGAATAGCGTATAACGTGCAAATGGCGCCCAAAAAGTCACTCTCCTTCCGTGGTGCTGCATTTGTGAGAGGCGCTGCTGCTAACGAATGGGGCTTTCTTACGGCATAGGTGCAACCCAGGAACAGAAGCATGGTACCGCAGGTGAAATACAGGAAATATGGTATTAAAACCAGAGCGAGAAGAGTAGTGGAGTTTCTATTACCGATGTAGCAGGTTCCTGAAATACAAAACATATATCAATCATTATGGTGTAGGTATTGTTTCGAAAATAGATGGGTTTTCATAATTTTACATAGACGGATCTACCCCTTTTTTACTTTAAAATTACCAACGAAGTTTAAATAAACAGATGTTTATCTATCGGTAACTTGTCAATAAATTAAAATAAATGAAATTTGGAATATCACTGATACAACTGATATTTTAAATGGATGTAGGTTATAATAAACACTTTTTATTGGTCTTGAAGGCTTAATTTTATATTGACCTTATCATTAGCTGGACGATGAGTTCCACTAATACTTTCATTTCAATGTAAGTGGACGACTGTCATATTATCTTTGGATGTTTTTGTTACTTATTCGGATGATGTTGGCTGTGCATATACCATGTCTGCTTGCTTCATTGAGATATAATAAAGAGGATATGCTATGACGATGGTAAATTGTCCGCACCTTTACATTACATTTCTACGTCAATGTCAAACTCGATATAGTATAGTTAGTCAGTTTTGGTGAGAAAAAAAATGCGATTTTTCTTTAAATAGCTTCATATAAATGATATTAAATTATTTTCATTCCCTGTCTTCAAATATAAAATTATTGACTTCAAATAAATCAAAGTACGACTCAAGCCGCCATTTTTATTACACTTTTCCATCACTTGAAGTGCGTCTATTTGTCATATCGCAAAATAGTGTTTATGTCGTCTCTATTATCTCGATGACTTAAATTGATATATCGTTCTCCACGTTTCTGATACAGACATTATTCTTAAAAATCATTACTAGAAACTGCAGAATCTTCATTGTAACCAAGAACATTGTAATATACACTTTTATACATAACCCTTGTACTACCAAGCTTTTTTTAACGTGGGGGTAACGAGCCTGGCCAATATGTTTTGTTTTCTAGACTGTATTAAATATAAAGGTAATTTGATTATATTAAATTTAATGGAATTGACTTGGCCCAGAAAGTTAATATTAATAAAAAAAATTAAATGAAAAGAATTTTTAAGAAATAATTCGAGCAAAATTTTGTATGGATTACCTTTGTAACATAAAAATATGCAGCTAATGAAAACAGGGTATTGAATAAAAGAAGGTTGGCTTAAAATACAGAGTGGCCGAAAAGTCTGGAAACGGCCAATTATCTCGTAAATTGCTAGTCTTAATTGTACAAAATTTGGGGTACACCTATTTTGGTATACGGTGATTCCAGATTTGATATTTGCAATGTTGGCAGATTTGCCATTTTTCTCAAATTATTGGTCATTTTGGTTTTTCAAATTCATCACCCTATATATTCAGTCATTATTGGAATTTCCTATTCAATACGAGTTCAACCATATGTAACACTTATGATTTTATGTAGTCTGGAAGGTCTTAAATAAATAAAATAAGTCTGGCAACGCCTAATTGTCTCAATAAATTTTTAATACAAAAACTATTTTCAACTACATTAAAACGTAACAATTGAAAGAATATAAAATTTTTAACACAATGGTTACTTTATCAAGTGTTCAGATACTGTAATGTGTTGCCTAGCAACCTTGTTTTCATTTTAGAAACAATTACTTTTTACATTATTTCAAACAGAAATATTTCGAGCTTACCTATTTGACAGTAAATAGCAATCATACTTAACTATGGAAACAATGGCTCAATTGCAGTTAAGGTAATGATGTAAAATTGCTATTTTTTTTTAATTTTAGCAGGTAACCCATTAATAGAGGTAGGTCGCAACTGTCTCACTTATATTTTATAATTATTCGAAAAATCAAGAGAGGGTCTCAAATGTATCATTCTACCACTGAGTAACGTCACCTTAATTTTTTAATAACTGCTTCAATTCTTCTTGGCAAAGTATTTATTAGATCCTGATACTCCTCTGGAGTGAAATTATTCCAAATTTTCTGGAGTCTGTGTTTGAATTTTTGCAGGCTTGGCACTTAACCGCTTGATGGCTTATAACTATGTTCCGGCTATCAGCGATTCGTCACTGTGTCACAGTGTAAATTACACTTTTCCATCTCTCCATTTCGAGGATCTTTAGCCCATTTCAACTCAACCTGTCTCGCTTCTATTTTAGAGTCAATAACGGTTTTTCATTAGCCTTCGCAAAGGAAAAAAATGATCTTTTTCCCCGTTAGATTGATATTGAACTTACCTTGTAGGTACCAAATCCTAGTTTTGTGGCTTTTATATGACATCTAGACCTGCAAATACGTCTGCCATCAGCCTCACTCAACTCTACTAGTTAGTACGTCTATTAGACTTAAAATTTTGGCTAAAGTTCGTCTATCATTGCTAATTTGAACTTTTCACATATCGGGGCTTCTGATCATCTGAACAGTGATTTCAAAAATTGGACAATATTTCGAATGCTATATCTGGATAAGCCGAGTAATATTCCAATTTTGTCGTTTGATATTCCAGATTTGTGTAAATTAATGAAAATGTTCGAATTTTTTCACTTTCCTCTACCCTTTAATGACAACAAATAGCACTATCAAGTACTGAGTTGTTTTCATAGCCACCTTAATCCACGTCGTTAGCAGTACTTAGGTAATGGAGTGCAAGGAAACTACGTTTTGACTATTTTCTATTTATTGGGACAGTACCATACATTGAACCCATATATCTTCTATATTCGTCTAAGTAGTGTATTTTGTGTCAGATATTACATTGTAGAAATTTAGACCCCAACAGCGTTACTAAGACAAATATTAAGAAATCAACCAAAGGTAATACCAAATACACTCACCGACTTAAAATTCGATCCACTCAAAATAATGATTTATTTAAAAATGCGAAGGCTGATTTATTTGAATTTTTTAGCAACTTTTAGATAAAATACTGTAGTTTTTAGATTATTATTCGAACATCTAAAAGTAATTAAGTACTCGCCGCATATACAGGGGAGAAGAGAAAACAATTTTTTCCTCTACTTTTGACACACCCTGTAGGTTAATTCTGCTAGTAGATTTGCACACAATTAACTTTATCAAGAAGACTGATTTGTTTCAAACACTTTGTTTTTATTTACCCCGATATCTTAATTTGTTTGTGAAATGTGACGGTTTAAAGAACATGCTACATTTTAGAAACGGCCATAATTATTTAAATGACGGTAGAGAATAAACTATAAAATAAGTAGAGTGTTGTGGCCAACTCACAATATAACAATTGTCAAATATTCGTCACTTGACAATTGCAGTTTAATTATCAGCATAACAAATATTCATTATCAGCATACTATCATGGTTTTAACCCCTACTGATGCAGCACGAGCAGTTGCTCTGGTACAAGATGGTAGGTCTCAGTATTATGCTTCTAGAACATTGAGTGTTACAAGGTGTAGCGTCCAGAGAGCTGTACAACGTTTCAATGAAATTGGTAGTTTTTCGAGACGAAGAGGATCTGGCAGACGACGTTCTACAAATGTTCGAGATGATCGATTTTTAACATTAAATATTTTGCGAGAAAGAAATACTACTGCTGTCATGGCTCGAAATCGTTTAGAAGAAGTACATCAAGTAGCTGTTAACGAACTAACGATTCGAAGGCGTTTACGAGAACATGGATCCCGCTCCAGAAGACCTGCAACTGGTCCGGAGTTACTTAAGAATCACAGAACAGCACGTTTTCGATTTGCCAGGGAGCATCAACATTGGAATGTCGATGACTGGAGTAAGATTTTATTTTCTGACGAGTCAAGGTTTTGTTTACGTTCTCCTGATGGTCGTGAAAGAATATACCGAAGAGGAGGCGAAAGGTTTGACCAAGCAAATTTTTCCACAAGACTCAGTTATGGAGGAGGATCGGTAATGGTTTGGGGCGGCATAAGCATGGAAGCTCGTACTGATCTCGTACTGATTTAGTCATTGTTGGCGGCGAAGCAATGACAGCTAACCGATATATTCGTGATGTGCTAGATCCACATGTAATTCCATTTGCACCGTTTATAGGAAACGAATTCATGTTTATGCATGACAACGCTCGATCACATATTGCGAGGATTGTATCTCAATATTTGGACGAAACAGAAATTCAAAGGATGAACTGGCCATTACGTAGCCCAGACCTCAATCCAATTGAGCACGTCTGGGACTGATGGGTAGACGAGTTCATAACCGAGTTCCTTCTTCAAGTAATTTAAATTTTTTGATAGATGCTTTGGTCCAAGAATGGGATCAGATTGATCAGATGGAGATTCGACATCTAATAGAGGGTATGCCACGACGCATTGAGGCAGTTATTCGCGCTCGTGGGGGAAATACCCGTTATTAATTTGTAATAATTATTAGTTTATTTGTTGTTTGATTTGTTTATAAAATTATGTATTACTCTGCTAAAACTGAATAAAAAAATTAAGAATGTTGCATTTTCTTTAAACCGTCACATTTCACAAACAAATTAGGATATCGGGGTAAATAAAAAACAAAATGTTGGAAACAAATCAGTCTTTTTGATAATAATAATAATAATAATAATAATAATAATATTTATTCAGAAAGCAGAATCCATATACATAAAATAGTGAAACACAAGAAGTTTTAACAAAAATACAAGGATTATCTACTATACTGAAAAGGAATCGTATTCATCGTAGCCTATCAGAAGACAGACTAAAATGGTTTTCAATACGCCCGGTCAAAATTAATAGTTTAAATATAAACACCCCTTAAATGTAGTACATATATAAATACATAATGGATACACATAAAAAAAAATGAAAATTGTAATTAATAACAAACAAAGACATCATAAATACCTACCTAGTCTAGTAGACGAAGCTCAATGAAAATTAGTGAACGTTGCTTCAAGCAATAAATATAAAAATATACAAAGATCAATCAAATAATCACAATTTAATATTTATATTTTAAAATCGATCAAAAGCTGTCCCCGAAGTAACAAAAATTTCAACTTATTTTTAAAAGTTACATGACTTAATTTTTTAAACTCTATTGGTATAAGATTCAAGATACGGC